GTTCCTCACTGACACACACGGGGGCGTCGAGAGCTCAGTCCTGCGCTGACTGCCGTGGGTGCAGTTCCGCGCTGACACACACGGGGGCGGCCTGAGCACAGTACTGCTGTGGGTGCAGTTCCTCACTGACACACACGGGGGCGTTGAGAGCTCAGTCCTGTGCTGATTGCCGTGGGTGCAGTTCCGCGCTGACACACACGGGGGCGTCCTGAGCACAGTCTTGTCCTGATGCATGGGACACAGTTCTATGGACACAGTTCTGTCCTCACATGCAGCACCCTGATCTGAGGTGTGTGCACAGTTCTGTCCTCACATGCAGCACCCTGATCTGAGGTGTGTGCACAGTTCTGTCCTCACACACGTGGAGGTGCTGTGATTGCAGGGCCTCATGCTTTGAGGTTGGAGTGATGGGTAATCATTCCTGTCTCTCATTGGAAGTGACTTTTTCTCGTGCTGGTAGCTAAGAAGCTTGGGTCCCTCCCACCTCCCAGCTGTGGTGGCTGCCTGTGCCATGTTCAGGTCACACCTTTCTGGGTACCAGTGTCTGAGTGTGAGCCTGGGGTGATGGGCTCTGCAGTGTCAGGCATGATGGTGAGGTTATAGGAAGGGTTATCAGGTGAGCACGTCAGAGATGCTAGGGGTGGACTCCGCAGCACCCCACAATGAAACAACACGGAGTGTGGGGGCACAGTTGTGCCTTCCGCCAGTGCATAGTGGGGTTCCCCAGCCTTACCCCTTAGCGTGCCAGAGATGTGGAGCCTGGTGCCATTGCTTCCATGGATTATAAAGTCTGCTCATTCCATCTGTGCCCCCCCACCCCCATCCTGGGCACACCTTGCTGATGTCGTCATCTGCCCCCACCTGCACCCCTCCCCGAGCCTCTGCTGTCTCTGGTCTGGCTTTTTCAGAACATCGTGCATCCAGCAGCCTGCAGCTGTGTCCACTCGGTTGTTGTCCTGTGTGTTCGGAGGACGGGCATTCTGCTGTCCAGTGACCTCTGATGCAGTCACCGGGCACCTCTGGTCCTGATTTGTACAGGGCGAGGGGCTGTGTTCCTGAGGCCCGTTTATGACTGTGTGGAGGAGCTTTGTCAGGTGCCGGCATCGGGGGTTTTCTCTGGAGGGCAACGGCATCTTGCTTTGCTGACTTTAGTCTTGCTTGCGTGCTGGGTTAGTTGAGTCTGGCCACGTTTCTCCCCTGTCGGCCTGGCATTCGCCTTCAGACGACACTTCCCTGCATGTTTTGTTGCCGTCTTCTTGCACCTTTCTTCACGCCGATTGAGACCTTTTCGGAGGCAGCTTCCTTCTTTTTTTCTCTCTGAGATTTTCTTTGCAAATACCCATACATCTGCCCACTGGGCACTTTGTGTATGGAACCAGCCCACTGGTGGTGGGTTTTACCTTAACACAAGCAGACGCTCATGTCTCTTCTGCAGGCTCAATGAGTGGGTTTGAACCACCAACCTTTTGGTTAGCTGGTTAACCATTGCCCCCACAAGGCTCAGTGCAAGACACATGGCCAGTGAAGACCCATGAATCTGCGCCTGTATAAGCTGCTCTAGCAGAGACCTGCCCTGGGGCTTCCAAGGCCGGGAATCCCAGAGGAGACGGCCTGACGCACTCCTTTGGAAACTCCATACTGATTTATGTCAGCAGAGCTCCGCTGTGGGGGTGACTGGCCCTGTGAAGCCCAGTTTATAGCCAGGAGCCGCCTCTGAGGTCTGCAGTGTCACACGATGCAGCTGATAGAAGCATTCTGAGGTTCTCCCCGCGCTGTTCATTGCCCGTTTGTAGCCAGGACTGAGTTTTGATGGTGCAGTGGTTGGTTAAACACTAATGAAAAGGTTGATGTTTCTAACCCACCGTTTGTATCTATGCAAGAGAGACCTCAGAACCTGCTTCTGTGAAGATCTTATCTCCTACCACTGAGCTGATTCTAGCTCACAGCCGCCGTCCCAGACAGAGGCCACTGCCCTGGGCTGCCGAGGGATCCCATAGGAAGGGCCACAGACTTGGAAAGTGGGTGAATTGTTGAGGTGAACTGACACAGTGACTGCACCGGGGGGCTTAGCACGGCAGAGATTGTGAGGGCAGTAGGGGATCAGGCAGGTTCCCCGGACGGTACACGAGGTTCCCCGGGTGGTACACGATCAGGCAGGTTCCCTGTGAGGAAGGCCCAACTTGGTGGTGCCCAGCAACAAAACATTAGCACAATTTTTCTGGAATCAGACTGCCTCCTCTTCCTCCTGCAGACCAGCAGGTGGGCTTGAACCACTGTCCTTTTGTAGCGTCTAAACACTTCAACCACTGCCTCACCTGTAAGCTCCTCCCCATAAAGATTACAACCTCACAGTCACGGGGTGGCTCTTCTCCCTTGTGCTGAGTCAGCTGGATGGACAGGGCCCAGCAGCTTTCCCCTTCAGCCTATCCCCACCCAGCCTGTCCCCACCCAGCCTGTCCC